CTATTCATTACCGGAACATTGTTTGAGTATTAAAAACCCATTTAAGGACGTCAAACTCACCAATAACGAGAAGTATCAAGGATATTTTCAACCTTAAAATGAACCAAAATACTGATCTCGGAGAACTGATCGATCGAAGGACAGCACAGCCTGATAGTGATGACCACTGACCTGTTACGGTGACGTCAAAAAACGTATTTCCGCGGTGTCGATGAAACCATATATCGATTTTAATACAAAGCTTAGAGCAGCATCCAAAAATGATTTTGAAAAGAATCTTTTCAAGTTGATGAATAATGCAGTTTTTGGAAAGACTATGGAAAATATTCGAAATAGAAGAGATATTTACTTAGTAACTAAGTAGGAATTGTTGCAACTGACCTATAGCAAAGTATCAAGAGACGATTACCTGGAAAAGCTTATCGAAATGCAAAAGAAGAATATTTTTATACCAAAGATAAATTTGCCCTATGGATTGATCTCCGAAGTCATTTTGATAATAGTATCCATGGTTCTGGATTTTTCTCAAATGATACGCATGATGGTGTAAAGTTACTAATCAAAAGGGCCACTGGTGGAAGTGGTACCTGGTAATAAAAGGTGGAAGGCTAGTAGCACTTGCTAGCGGACTGGTGAAAGTGGCTATGCATGTTGATGTGGATAAAATAAGAGATAGTATAGATGAAAAATCAGCAAAAATTAGTGATTCTGCAGAGATATCTGAACAGCCTGCTAGCACTCACTAAACAGATGCTAGCATCCTTTTAGCATTTTTATAATAGTACTTAAAATAATACTTAAAAATTATTTTAAATAGGATACTATAATGAGTGAAGAAGTAGCAAAAGAAGTAGCGGTAGAGCAAATTACTAAAACACCTACTGCACCTGTAGAGAATGTCCAGAAGAAAAAAGATCCAAAAAAGATAGCGGCAGGTAAACGAATGGCAGAAAAGAATAAAGAGGCAAAAGAGGCATTAACGAGAGAAATGGAGAGAGAAGCTGAAATTGAGAGTAAAAAGGCTGAAATTAAGAAAGAGAGTAGTATAAGTCTGTTTCCAGAATTATCATTTACAACCGTACTTGCTATTGTTGGAACTGGAGTAGGATTAGTAAACCTTTACTATCGATTTTACCTGACGAAAGTAGAAGTACAGCGACCGAAAGTAGGAAAGGAGAGTGAAGTAGCAATGGAGGAGCCTAAATCTAAAATACCGGTAAGAGTAGGAGTGAATTAAAGTACTTAAAAAAAGTTTATACTATAATATTATAATGTCAGACAACAAACTTGTGAAAACCGTCACTGATTCAACAGTCTTAATGGGATTAGCCGCCGGCGTTGGTTATCTTGGAAAAAAGGTTTTAAAAGAAAACTTCCTTAGTGATCCATCTGCTAGTATAATGAATTATGTAAAGTGGACTGCAGTAATTGCAGGCAGCATTGCACTTAAAAGTTACTTAGAAGATAAAAAAAATATTACCTAGTAGTATATAATGGCTAGTATTGCAATTATGATTGGTGGAGCAATTCTTAATGCAACTACTTTTATTGGTGGATCTTATCTTGCTAAATATTTAGGTGGAAAAGGGACAGATGAGGAGCGTATTAGATATGATAGGGCACTTGAAAAATACGAACGAGATCATGAAAAATATAGAGAGAGTCAACAGAAGTTTAGAGAATGGAAAGAAGAAAATATGCGTAAAGGCCAAATTGCAGAACAAAATTTAACAGATACTGATTATGCCTTAAAGTTACATAGTCAAACTCATCCAGACTCAATACCCAATAAACCTAAATTTTTAGATTATTATCAGCCAAGTAATAGTCAGAAAATGGGTGAAATGGTATATGTAGGTGGTGGAATGTTAGCTATTGGTTATCTTGCAAGCAGATTTATTTAAGTTAAAAATTATTATCTAACTTTAATTAAATGGATGATTTTGATGAGAACAATCCTTTAATGGGAAATGATGATGATCGAAATGATGATGATGATGATAGAAGTTTTTCAAATCCAATGTATTCTCCTTCAGGAAGATATCCACATGATAGTGGAGAAATAGAAATGACTAGCACTTTACACAGACGTGGAGAGAAATCTACTACCACAGAGACTTCTTTCATGAGTCTTAATCCGAAAACACTACAACAACAAGATAAAGCTTGGGAAACGGTGAAAGCAAAATTTTCAAGAGCGAGTGCAATTGATTTAAAAGCAGATTACAGCAAGACAGGTAGACTAGAAGTCTCAAAATTCGGTAAAAAAAAGTATCCTTTATTCACTAGGAATAGAACAACTGGAGAAGAACAAATAAACCCACAATTGACTAAAGAAATAAAAGATGCTCTTGGTCCACCTGCTGAAGTAATTATTGAAGAGAATGAACGAGAAAAAATACGTCGTTTAGAGAAGAAAAAAGAATTGACAAGAGAAAGGGTTTCAACAAGTGATCCAAATAGAATAGAGGTTATTGATCGTGATATTATGGAACAAGATGAAGTGATCTCAAATATTGATGAAAAAAATGAAAGAATAAAAGAAGGTCTACCACTCAGAGAAAGAGTAAAGAATATATTTAAAAAGTATGGTTTTACTGCCTTTGCGGTATTATCTGCTGTAAGTGTAGTCTTGAGTGTCATTCTTTCTAATTTAAAAAGTGGCTTATCTAAGTTGGGAAAGGGGGTAGGAGAAGGACTTAAGTCTATTGGAAAAAAGCTAGGTGAAATCTTACCAGGACTAATTGGTGCCATAGCCTCTTTTATATTTAAGACAGCTGGTGAAGTTATCTCTTTTCTTGGTAAAAATGCCTGGTTATTAGTAGTAGTTGTAGTAGTATATGCTGTGGAACAATTTAAAAAGAAAAAAAAAAGTAAGAGTATAATGGAAGATTACAATAGAATCTATCCACAACTACCTGAACAGGGTGAAAATTTCCGACTAAAAAGTGTATCTGATTTCTTATGAGAGATGGAAAGTGAATTAAAAGAGCGAGAAGCTACTTTCAATCGGTATAAAAAGTCTTTTAAATTCTTAAGTAACCTTAGTGCTTCAGCTGGTACCTTATCAGTCGTGTTATCTGGAAGTGGAACTGGTACTGCCTTAACTGGGGTTGGATTACCAGTCGGTGCCTCCTTAGCAGTCTTAGCTGCTATTTGTGGAATTTTAAGTGTCTCTGCTGGAATTAGTGTAAAAAAGGTCTCCAGTAAATTAGATAAACATGAAAAGATTGTCTCTCTCTGTCGTGATAAATTAAGTATAGTAAAGTCTCTAGTCTCTAAAGCTTTAAATGATGGTAATATTTCACATGAAGAATTTCTTGCAGTTCAGGCTGAAGTTCAAAACTATAAAGATTTGAATAAGGAGATTCAAACCAAAAAAAAAGATTCAAAGGAGGGAAGAAGGTCAAAATTTGGAAGAAATCAAACTTCAATTCGAAGAAGAGATAGAAAGATTAAAAGAATTGTATTCAAAATTGAATTAAATTGTTTTGTAGATAATGTAGAGAGTGATATTAGTGATAGACCACCACCATATAATCCATCATATTAAAAACATTTTATTAATATATACTATTAATAAAATGAGTTTATGGAATAAATTCAAAAGGAGGTTTCCAAATGCACTTTAGTAAATTTATGGCTATAAAGTACCCTGACTATACAGAAATAGTCTATAAAGAGTCTGATGGAACTAGAGACATGTATGATAGTAAGGGTAATTTACTCTCTAGCAATTATTATTCAGACGAGAGGAAAAAAGATTTGGGTATTGCTGGTTTTCCGTTAGAATTAACCTTAAACCCAAATCCAAAGTTAGTAATTTCCGCTGTCGAATTCAGTCAGTCTCCACACTCATTAGGTGATAAACAAGCTAACCATGATATTTATATTACACCGAGTGATAAATTCAGCATCAAGTTCCGTAATATCTTTCAAAACAACATCATTCGTCGCACAACAGGAAAAGAATCACACCTTTGGTTAAAAGAGCCAAACATGTCTTATTGGCCACAACAACTTAATTTTGCGGTTTGGTGTGCAACAACTGGTTGTGGAATAAGTATCCGTTCTCTTTTTGATGACGGTATGACTGATTCTGAATTAAAATTACCACCACAAGTACGGAGTTTTCTCTGGTTTCATGTTTATTTCACAGTCCGAAGAATCTTTTTTGAAATGGGTGGAATTCAAGGTCCAGTTCACTTACCCGATGATCCGGTTTTCGATATGATAAAAAACTCTTATGACGTCGTTAGCTACAAGCGGATTTGTAATGAATTCAAAATCAGTCCAAATTCTGACTTTAGATTTAAAAAAGGTAGTAATAATGGTTTAGGCGATGTTTTTATTTGGGTTGCTGGATTAGGACCTACGAAAACCGATTATAAGTATCCAGATTGGAATAAATTCAGTGATGAAGGTGGAAAAGGGATAAAGGGTGACCTGATTCAATATATTGATAATTCTTTGGCAGGGAAGCAATATGAATATTTTGTGACTCCAGTCTCTTATGGGTTAACCAGTGCAGGTCAAGCAAGAATCAATCAATCA